CCCCAAAACCCCAAAACCCCAAAACCCCAAAACCCCTGGGAAAATATAATTAATTGAAAATGTCTCAGCAAGAAAGTAGCTCTGGGTATTGAAACATGCAAGATTTACGGGATAATGAAAACGAGGACATTAAAGAGATTAATGATCAGAAGAAGAGGTCTTTGTCATGGATTTTCTATGCTATCTCAGCCACTGTTTGTTTCGCCATCTCAGCTTATATCCTTGGAATTATCAGCGTGAATGGAGCTTCTGCAAAGTTCCTGAACTCTTGGGGATATCTATTCGTTTCTATCCTCATTGTGTCAACAAAGAACATCAAGTTCGTGAAACAAAGGAGGAAATATAAGAGAGAAAGTCCTGAAGCCACCAAGAATCTGTCTTCGTTTGCGACTTTGAAAGATTCATGTTACTATAATAAAGAACAAGAAGCATACGAAATCATGGCTCTGGTTTTATCGTTCATCTGTGGGTTGCTAAACTTCGCAGGAGAGTTCTCGATCATCTTTGCATTCCAGCATGCTCTTGATTCTCTGTTGAACCAAGGCATTTTGACTTCATTATTCACTCTGGGAGCCATTATAGTCTTGGTAGGAAGTGTTTATCTGTTAGATGAACGAGTAAGATTCTGTGAGTGTGGTGGGGTGATTCTTATAATCCTTGGTACTGTCTTCATTGCCCTTACTAAAAAAGGTGAGGAAATTCCAGGAGTTCCTCTCCCTCCAGAATTATCTCCCCAAGATAACGAACTTGACATTCTAATACCTAATGAAGGACCAGCAATTGCTATTCTACTAGCTATTTTAGCAACAGTATGTTTCGGAACAAGAGGACTGATTTTGAAATACATGTTTCTCCAAAAAGGAATCGATGGAATCTCTGCTTCTTCAGTATTCCTCATTACTGATGGGCTTATTGGTGGAATCACTGGACTGGTCATTACTCTAAACGGAGGAGCATATGCTGCCTTCCAACCTCTTTATATTGTGCTTGGCATTGTCTCAGGATGCTTGGCTGGCACTGGAGTTTTGTGCTTAAATATTTCAATCATGGAAGGCCTAGCGGGTCCTGCAGTCGCAATGTCTAATCTGTCAAGTGTGATCCAAGCACTACTTGACTGGGGCTTCTTGGGCCAAGTTCCGTCTATGAACGAGACTCTTGGACTCATTATAGCTGTGGCTGGAGCTATCGTGATGGCAGTTGGGGATAATTACATTATTAAGCCTTTATTCTATAGAAGCTCTCAACATGAATCAAGCAAAGTGGTCAATAAAGATATCGAAAATAATTCTGGGAATTATAAAAATTCATCATTAGTAGATGCCATGAGAAGAAGGAATATAAAGAACAACCAAAAGCGAAATGAGATATTTCAAAAGGAGAAAGAAGATGGAGATGATGAGGCTTCCGATTAAGTCTGAAATAGGAGAGCTTAGCCTCAATCCCTCTTCAGGTACAAAAGTAGCTTAAAGATGCTGTTAGTAAGAATAATATAAATTCAATTTAGTTGGGGAGCAGAGGGGTTTTGGGGTTTTGGGGTTTTGGGGTTTTGGGG